AAAGGGGAGGGAGGGAGGAGGAAAGGAAGGGAGAGGGAGGGCAGGGATTCTTTGACTTAGAATTTGGGCTCTGGGATTCCGTGAGATTTGTCCCTTCTGCTGAGAGACCAGGAATACAAGGTAGCAAGCGTCCCCATGGGCCGTGCTTTGTAGCATCCCAAAGGGCCGCTTACCTTGTCTTAAAACATGCCTTCCATTTTTAATAAATTTCCCTGCGCTCTGGATAGCTGAGGCAAGAGAGTCTCACATTGGAGCCCAGGTTGGGCAACTTCTGAAGCCCCTCTGAAAATACAGCCTGCCCCAGCCAGCTGCCTCTTTGACTTGCTTCTCTATCATTGTGATGATGATGATGATGATGATGATGATGATGATGGTTATTATTTTAGATCCATGATCACTAGCCTTCCTCTTTCCTTTTTCTTTTATTTAAGGCTTTCAAATCTGACTCTTGTTCAGTAAATTTGACTCTGAAATCAATCAATTTTAAAAAGTGGGAAGAAACATCATGTAAATATTGGCAAGAATGTAGAAAAACTGGAATCTTTATATATTGCAGATGGGAAAGTTACATGGTACAGACTCTTAGAAAGAATGATAATTCCCTAAAGAGTAAGCATAGACTTAGTACACGTAGTCCAGCAGTTCCACTTCTGGGTACAGGGCCAAAACCCTGTACATGAATGTGGCTGGGCTCAGAAAACACCCCCCTGAAGACCGCTGCATTGTACCTAAGAGCCCTGGGACCGACCTCAGAATCCAGGGCCCTCTGACCCTCCCTCCTTCTCACTGTCCTAGTGCGGGGAGCAGCTTTCTCTAGAGTTCCCTTACTTGCCTCAAATCCCAACCTGCTGTCCTTTCTCAGAGCTTTCGCTAGACTCGTATCACAGGGAGAGACACTGGTCTGTGAGTTCACATCACTCCGCGTGGTGTCTCTTTCGGTCCCATGTAGACTCAGTTACGACCACCCTCCATTCTGCACCCCAAATATCTTGTCCCAGTCCGTTGTATGTGCTCCGGTCTGTGGAGTTTCTCTAAAACCACTAACTGTTTCCCTGACATTTCCTATTCTTCCGCTCCCCTATAGAAAAAAGGATATAAACTTCTGAATCATTTTAGGCAAATGGGGAATCGTGCTCCTGTGGTTTCCCCATGCAGTGTACACTCTGTACACATTAAGAAATGTGAATGCCTTTTCCCCCTTTAATATTCCAGAAAGCAAAAGAAAAGTTCCCTTTCTCCCTTACAATGTTCAGAGTAATGCATCTTTTAAAAATCTTTCGTGGTGATCCGATCTTTCCTCTCCTTCCACCCTTACTCCTGAAGCAGGAAAAGAGTTAACAATTGTTAAAGGAAGCAATCCAGCTATGCCAAATAGACCAGATAGACCCACAGTTTCCTATTCAATGATTTCTCCTCCCACTCCTTATTTGCCTACAGGACTTAGTGGACAATCAACTCCTATGTTAAAAATTCTTGACTAGCTTTATTTGAGTCATAGAGGCCACAAAAATATTACCCCTATGCTAAACTTATGGCCTCTCCTATTATCATGGGTAGAAGAAGAATTAATCAGTCATCCAGCTGTGATTCTCACGTTATCTGGACTCCCGCCCCTTGTGGAGAGTTTCAACCATCTATATCCTTACCACGTGCCTTAGCCAATTTAGCAGAACAAATTCTTGGATCACGGCCTGCTGAAAAAAAAAATCTACATTTTTAAACTGAGACCTCTTTTATTCTTCCCAGAATTGTACATTCCAAACCTATCTCTCAGGCCTGCACTGTGTTTGCTGAAAGCAGATATAGTGTCAGGTTCTACCACACTTGCTTTACAAACCTTTCCTCCGGAACCTTTAAATGTAGTCTGTGATTCTCAGTGTGCTGCGTATTCTGTAAAAAGTACTGAGATACCCACGTCAACCCCTGTATCGCACCAGATCTGTTCTTACTTTGCAGACAGAAGTTGGTCTGTGCCATGCTCTCATCCTCTTCATTACCCACCTCTGTTCTCATCCTGGACTCCCTGGATCCATTTCTAAAGGAAAGAATCAGCTGATGCTTTGGTTGTGTTTTCTGGTTGTGATGAAATCTGTCTCTCTCATGAGCTTTTGCAGGAAAATATATATACCTCGAGACCATAATGTTAAGTGAAAGAAATCAAACACAGAAGCTTAAATAATACATGTTTTTTCTTATAGGAGAAACCGCAAGGATAAATAATTTAAAGAGCAAAAATTTAAAACATAGATAAAGGGATCAGGGGGTAGATTTTTCTCAAATAGGAAGGGGACAAAGATATGGAAGAGAGGGGAAGGGAGGGGAGACAGAAGAACAGGAATTAAGATGTATTCTATACACATACAAACTACCCATGATTAATGTAGCCAGTACGTACTGCACACACATCTTAATACAAATGCTTGAATCTCATCGGGGGTGGTGGCACACGCACATAATCCCAGCCCTGGGGAGGCTGAGGCAGGAAGGAGGATCGCCGTGCGTTTGATGCCATCCTGGGCTACGTAGTGAGTTCAAGTCCAGCATATTATTCTATACACATACAAACTACCCATGATTAATGTAGCCAGTACGTACTGCACACACATCTTAATACAAATGCTTGAATCTCATCGGGGGTGGTGGCACACGCACATAATCCCAGCCCTGGGGAGGCTGAGGCAGGAAGGAGGATCGCCGTGCGTTTGATGCCATCCTGGGCTACGTAGTGAGTTCAAGTCCAGCATATTATATAGAAAGGCCCTCCTTGTCCCTTTTTATTTACGGTTCTCACCATCATCACCCACTGTCATGGCAACATGCAGAAGGAATTGTATCTGTCATCAGCACACCCAGCACCCAGAGTCAGTGCGTGTTAATCGTTTACTATATGTGGTTAAGTATTTTGCTGCTGCTGCTGCTGATGTTAAGACTTTGGTTGCTGCGATAAGTTCTTTACCACTTCTGTGCCTTTTGTCCCCAGAGTTCATCGCTATCCTGAAGCTGTCATCAAGCCCATCCATACTGTATGCATTTAGCATATTAGTCACCCAGCTTCATAGAGTGGTGTGTTGTGTCTGTATGCCTTGTGTACTTAAATAACATTGTTCCTAATCGCTTACACTTTTCACCCTTATC